TTTTCATTGTGTCTTGTTGGTGTTCGTGGACGCGTCTGCTGGTCTTCTGCCTGTCTGTCCTGCACAGCGGCTGTTACGGTCCTCGCGTTGTATGTTGTAGATGACTCCTCTTTTGTCTTCTTGGGCTACTGGTCTTTTGGTTTGCTTAAGATGTTTTGGAGGGCTTTAGTTGGCTTGTGTGCTACGGTGATGCCGTGTGCTTGTAATACTCTGTTGGTTGTTTCTGAGATGTCTTTGATGTATGGTGGTGTCGTCCTTTTCACAGGTTGTACTGGTTGTACTGAAGCAGGTTGTGTGGTCGGGCACTTTTTGATAAAGTTGCGCAGGGAACCATTTTGTTGGAAGACACATAGGTGGTCAGTTTCCTCTTCCTGGCGGGTTTGTGTTAGTCTGAATAATGTTCTTGCACAGCTCCTCTTGGGGGAGGTCGGGTCGTTGCTCTGGTAGTGGAGTACTTGGTTGTTTTTTGGCAGACTTGAGTTTCTAATTTGCCATCGTTTCGTTTGCTGTGAGGATATCCAGGAGGGATAGTTTGATGTTGTTGTGTATGTTTCACGGGGGCAGGACTGCTGGGTTTGGTGAAACTCTCTTGCCTTCAGCCGCTTGCACCTTTCCTGACCTGGAGGGACCTTCCAGATGAGACTCTCCCCTTGTTCCCCGCAGGCGCAGTGGGGAAAATTGGCCCTTCCTTTCAGCCTTCTTTTCACCAGTTGTGTTCGCTGTTCTGAAGCTCGGGGACCAGATTACTCGGGGGCCGTGCTCCAGGGCCAAAGCTTGCCCACCCGTGCTAAAGCCAGATCAGTGGCACCAGGGGGTGCAGGGTGTCAGAATCACACTGGTGAGGGTGGCATCAGGATCCAAGCTTCCCCCTTTTGGCGATGCATCCACATCACACCCTCGTAGAAAAGGGCAGGCCTTGGATTGCAACACCACACCTTCCACCTTATAATTTTAACCCCCCCTTGCAGACGCCCATGAATGGAGCTCCCCCCCGCACTACTTTGTGGCACCCTTTATCAGAGACCAGAGCAAAAAGGCTCCCATCTCCTCCTCTGCCTCTACTTCCGGCCAGCGGGTGGGGTGGGGGCTGGTGCCAGGGGCTTCTTGGATCCCTTCTGTTCTCCATCTCAACAGGTGGCTTTTCTGGCCCAGTCTCCCTGGGGGCACATCCTTCCAATCTTGTACTTGGGGTGGGTTCTTTTGCTGGGTCCTCTACTGTCTATGGTCACAGAAGAGACACAGTCACAGAAAGACCCCCTTTCTGCAGCCCCCTTGGCAAAAGGGCTTCCTGTCACCACAGCAAGTCCATGTGTGTGTGTGTGGGGGGGAATATTGCCCTGCCCCCATTATGTCAGCAGCTGAATTTGGGAAATCCCCGTTGGAACTCCCTGTCAGGGAAACAGGTCGCCCTCTCAAGGCAGATGGGCTAGGAAACGCACCCTTGGCAGCCAGGTTCCTTGGCCAGCCTCAGCCACTGCCAAGGAGCTGTGTGCAGCCTGGTGCTGGCATTACCTCACCCTCCAGGCAAAGCCCTTTCCTCCGCTTGGGTTCCTGCAGGAATTTCAGAAGCGCCTGCACATCAAGCGCCCGGTCTTTGAGGCCACCCTGCGGCACGGGCGTCTCCTCCGCGCGAAGGCCTTGCTCCCTACCGATGGCCAGGAGCTGGAGGAAATGCTGAGGGAGCTGAAGGAGCGTTGGGGGGCTCTGTGGAGCTGGGCGGCTGAGAGGTAGGGGATGAAGGGGGTTGGGGGCCTCCGTGCAGACTTGCTTGCCTGTCCCCTGCATGCTCTTGGCCACACCTGGGTCTCCATGGGATGGCCAAATCGGTCTCGTCCTCCAAGTGGGCCAAATCTCTCCTGGCCTGGTGCCACTTGTTCTGCAAAGCCCCTGGCCCCGAAATGGTCCAAACCTGGTCCTGTGGGATCCCTCAAGAAAGTGCTCTGGTGGAGGAAGCCCCTTTGCAGCATTACTAAGAGCAGGAAGCTTGATGCAGCCAGGGCGGTGCTTCTGCTGTTGGCCCGGTTCTCTTCTGGTTTGGGAGAGATGGGTAGGAGGGAAAGAAAAAGAGGGTTTAAGTGAGAGTAGTGTGGCTGAGGAGCTGGTGTGGGCTAGAGCCCCTCAGGATCAGGGCCAGGATACTGACCTGCTCTCACCCACCATCACAAAGACCTGCAAACAAGGATCAGGTAGAGCAATTGAGACAAAGCCAGTCCTAGGACAGACTGGGGCCCCAAACTCTGAATGGAAGGGCTACTTCCAACATGAGCTCCCGGAACGGAGGATTTTTTGAGCCTCTGGCACCACGTCCAGACCCTCTGGGATGAAAGCCCTAGCCCCAGGTTGCACTCCTCAGAGGAGGTCTTCAGGTGGATGAGGCCTGAACCTCCAGCCTCCCCTGGTCCGACTGCTGCCGAGTCGGGCACAGGCCTCTGTCCCACGGGAGCTCCAGCCCGGAGTGGTGGTGCTGGAGGCTCCAAGGACCTTCCGGGTGAGGGCAGGCCTGGCTCCTCTTCGTAGAGAAGGGGGCACAAAGGCCTCGTGGACAGCTCACTGCTACCCAACTCCTTGCAGGCAGCGGAAGCTGGAGGAGCGCCTGCTCTTCTCTGGCCACTTCAGCGATGCCCTCCAAACCCTCCTGGACTGGCTCTACCAGGTTGAGCCCCAGCTGGCTGAGGAGACCCCTGTGGCTGGGGACAGAGACCTGGTGGGCACATTGCTGGAGAAGCACAAGGTCTGTGAGAGTGCCGCTGCCCGAAGGGGCTGTGCCAGTGTGGGCAGGGGCTGGAGGATCTGTCTGCGGAAGCTGGCTCCAAGAAAGCAGCTGGAGGGCCTGGGGTGAGGTGGCCCCAGCACTCGGTGGTCCCTCTGCCTGGGCCCCAGCAGCGAGGCCTCTTCTCTCACCACGGCAGGCATTCCAGGAGGAGCTGGGCCAGCGGGCGGCAGCTGTCAGGACGCTGAGGTGCTCCGTGCGTGAGCTGGCACGAGGCGGCAGCACGGCAGACACCCGGTGGCTGCAGATCCAGATGGAGGAGCTGGGTCAGCGCTGGGAACTCATCAGCCGGCTCTCGGTCTCCAAACGGGACCAGCTGGAGGTCGCCCTGAGGCAGGCAAGTGGACAGGCCACGGGGTGGGGGGAGGACAGTTGCCTTGAGGACGCCAAGCTGTGGCTGGTGAAGGGCTGAAGTGTCCATGCTGGGACCTGGGGTGGGGCACATGGGTGGCCCAAGAAGCAATAGGACACGAGCAGGAGGCCTTTCCCTGCCCCCCCATCCGAAGACTCGTTCCTGAAGCTAGGCAGGTTCTAGTTTGCTTCTGGATCCCAAGGGGACCCAAATCCTTTCGGCCCCTCCCTTAGCTTTTTCAGGCTGACAGTAGGTTGGTTTTCACTGACGTAAGCCTGGAGAAGCACATATGGTGTTAGTAGGGGTGTGTAGTGAGATCGGGCTGGGACTTTCGCAGAATGGAGGCGCTGCAGCGTTTCAGCAGAACGGCAGTGGAATTGGAGAACAGCAAAGTGGACAAGTAGATTTCAGCAAACCAGCTTTGGGGCCTGGTCCTCGGGGATAGGGAGAGAAGGGAAGCCCCTCGTTCCGGGCTGCTTTCCCCCCCCATGAGGCTCTCAGTGGAGGGGATAAGCAAACAGCTACAGAGCGGACCTAGGGCTTGGGAGCCAGGAAGGGGCCGTGCCCAGGGCTCTCCTGCTTTCAGATGGGGATGATGGTTAAAATTCACTACGGTCACCCGTTCCAAAAGACTCTGGGCAGCTTACAACATCAGAATAGGCAATTAAAACCACAAAAATGTAACAGCCCAGACTAAAAAATAACCATAATGATAAAAAGCACAGCAGGGGCTCCACAGACACAGCCATGTCTTCAGGGCCTTCCGGGACCAAGGAGCGTGGGTCCCATCCGCGTCTCTGGGGGAGGCTGCCCCAGGGGCAGAGCAGGCGTGCTCCCTTGGTCCCACGAGATGACAGTGTTTGACTGTGGGGCTCGGAGGGCACCCACTCCCACCAAATGGATGGGCAGGCAGAATCGATTGGAGGCAGGCCTTCCCCTATGGGGCCAGGCCCTATGCCGTGGAGGGCTTTAGAGGGGGCGACCGGCACCTGAAGCCGACTGGCACCCTGGGCAACTCGTGGGGCAGCGATGATGCATGATGAGAAGCGGCTGCCCGGGACTTGGTCTGAGGTCCCTCGTGTAAGGGGGAGCCGTGCCGTGGGACCGCCGGCCCCATGGCAGGAAGAGACACACCTCTCCTCTTGCAGGCAGAGGAGTTCCATGCCCTGCTGCAATCCTTCCTGAGTCGTCTGTCTGAGTTGGAGAAGTTGGTCGTGGAGGAGGAGGCGGCGGCAGCGGCCATGGCGGGGGGCCAGAGCCAGCTCAAGGTGAGAAGAGAACCCAGGGGAGTCCTGCTCCTCTTCTCCTGGCCCTTTGCCCACGCCAGAGCCTTCAGGACTCGCCCCCCCGGCCCCCGCAGGGACGGGTACTGAAGGCTTTCCCGCTGCTGGCAGGAGCTGCGGCAGAGCGTGCAGGCCCAGCAGCTGGAGCTGGAGCACATCTGCGCTCTGGGGGAGGAGATCCTGAGTGCCTGCCACCCCGATGCCATGGGCACCATCCAGTCCTGGGTTGCCCTTGCCAAGAGCCGCTTCCAGCAGGTGAGCAGAGCAGAGGAGGGCAGCCTTTGTCCGAGGAGGCAGGCCTTCTGGCACTCTGGGTCTGCGTGGTCTCCAGCCCGTGGGAGAGGTGAGCCCTGGGCTGGGGGAGCAGGGCTTCCTTCTCCCCCCATGTCGCTCTCCACCTCTGACAGCTCCGTGGCCGGGCCCAGCGGCAGGAGCAGCGCCTGCGGGCCCATGCAGCCGCCCTGGCTGCAGGCCGGGAGGAGCTGGAGAGGCTCAGCGACTGGGTCATGGCTGCCGAAGAGTCCCTGAGCCTGCGGGACCAGGAGCCTCTCCCCGAGGATGCCGGGCAGCTGGAGGAGCTCTGGTGTCAGCACACGGTAGCGTTGCCGGCCCCTTTCCCTTTCTTGTCAGCCTCAGCCGGTCACTCCGGTGCGGGCTAGAAGGGCCTCTGTCCCCTGCCTCACCGGTGCTCTGGGGGAGCCAGCCGCCAGCGGTGGGTTGACTGAGGCATCAGTGACCCCCCGCCTAACCTCAGGCTGCGGGTGGCCGGGGCAGCCTGCCTCGGACCTGCCGCAGAGGCGGCCACCTTTGCTTCTCGATGCAGGGGAGAGTGCCACGCGGGGGCCGTGCTCCCCACAACGCAGCAGGGTGAGTCTCTGGCAACCAGTCCGCTGGGGCATTGGAGAATCTCCCTTTCCCAGTGGGACGGTGCATTTCAGCCATCAGGAGCACAACGTGAGAAGCTTTGTGAGGGTGTACGAGTGCATGCGGGTGCGGATGTGGGCTGGGGTCGCCAAGCCCCTGGTCAGGGTGGCCTTCGAGGCTCAGCTCTGCCAGACTGGGAGGCTGTGGCCCTACAACAGTGGCACCCGGCTGCCGAGATCTTTGTGGTTGATGGGAGCACCCTCTCCCATCCCTGCAGGTCTTCATGCAGGAGTTGAGCCACAAGCAGCCAGAGGTGGAGGAGGTCACCCAGAGCTGCAGGCGAGAGCGGACTTCAGCGCTGGGGGGGACGGCTCCTCCCCTCGAGCGGCCTTCTGGTTAGTGCCGTTTATTCACAGCTTCTGCCCTGCAACTGGCCACATCATCCTGTTGAACCCGCATCTGTCCTCTAAGCTGTTTTGCAACTCCTGCCTTTATTTATTTATTCATTCAATTTATATACTGCCCATCTCCCCCAGAGGCGGCTCCTTGAGGCTCAGAGAGAGGGATCCACAGATGGTCTGAGTCACATCCAGGAAATTGGGCAGGGGGCGGCAGGGGAAGCGATCAAGCCACCAAGGCTTCCCGGAAGACCTGCCCAGTCTAGAGCGAGCATTGGTGGGAAAAGCGTGGCTGGGCGCAAGCAAGCACAAGGGAACGACCTGGGGCAGAGAATGCGACGGAGGAGACTGATGCCGAGGGTAGAGTGACATTGCTGCCATGCTGGGCGCTTTTCTGGCTGGCCCCGGTGAGAAGAGAAGGCCTTGTTGGTCTTCGGCCATAGGAAGGCTCTCCTCCGCACCTCGGATTGCGGGCCAGGCCAACGGCTCAGCTGCCAGCGAGGCCCAGGCGTCTTCCAAGGACGTCTTCGTCAGGCTGCTGCAGATGCTCGTCTGCCCCACCCCTTCCCTTCCCCAAGCGCTGTGCCCACCCGCACAGGTTTCCCAGAGGAGCAGCTTCCCACAGGCCAGTTGGGTCTCTTCGCTCGGTTTCAGACAGTGCTGCTGCCGCCCCCACGGGAAGGGAGAGGAGTGGGGAGGAGAACAGTAACCCCCAGGAGGAGCTTGGTCTTGCTCTCCTCTGCGCCAGCCGCGTTCCGGCTTCGGGTTATGGGAAGGTGCAGAGAATGAGGAACCAGCCTTGGGGAGAGGGAGGGGGGCTGGGCAGAAACACGCAGGGTCCTGAGAAAGGGGGGACACAAGAAGGAGATCCGAAGCAGCCCTGCCTTGAGTTGGCCTGGCCTAAGATGGGACGGGGAGGGGCGTCAAGATTGACACCAGTCAAGATCCCAGGAACGCACTTGATGGTCGCAGGAGAGGAGGACAGAATCTTGGAAGCCCCTCGGAGTTTGCCTCCGTCCCACCTCAAACCAAGCCAAAGTAGCAAAATCCAGGTGGGGTCATACTGAGCCCCTTCTCAGGCTTCCTTCCATCTCTGGCCTGCATCCAAGCCCCCCCCCGCTTGCTCTTTCCTTCTCTGTCCCCAAGGTCAACTTACAGGAGGGTGGTAGAGGGGAGGTGGGCACCCCAGAGGCCCTTGAGGGGGTCGCTGTGCTGAGATCCAGGTTATGGCTCCCTGTCTGGGCATCCTAATCAGGGCCCTGAGGTTGGGGGACACTCAGCAGCCCTCAAACTGCCGCCCCCCACACACGCGTTCTCTCTAGTGACAGCCAGCCATGAGGTTCTAGCTGGGACCCTAGCTCAGCGCTTGCTAAAGGATAGGGGCCCTCCTCCCTCCCCCGCAGGACGGCGCGGTGCCAGCAGAGCCTCCCCCGGGCCACCCCTCGTGCCCCTGGAGGACCCGGAGCCCCAGAGCCCGCTCCTGGCCCAGCTGGTGCACCACTGGCAACACCTCTGGCTGGCAGCTCTGGACAGGCAGCGTCGGCTCCAGAGTTCCCAGCAGCGCCTCCAAGAGGTGAGGACAGGCAGTGCAGCGGGGGGGCAGCGTGGAACCGGAGGCAGAAAGCCCCCCTTGTTGCCTGGCAGCCGTGAGAGATCAGGGTTCGAGCACCCTGGAGGCGGGGGTCTGCGCTGCCCTTGGCTACCTTCTGTGGAAGTGGGCGGATGGATGGGGGATGGGGCACGCCAGCCCTAGCCGCAGTCCTCTCCTGGGTCAGCCCCTCTCTTTCCATCAGCCACAGGGATGAGGAGCAAGGGAGGGGCTGGGCCTCTCACCCTGCCCATGGGCCTCCCCTTGGGGCCCTGGCTGCAGCACCGCCTTTTGTGCTCTTCGCCTGGCTGCTGCTGGGCCCTGGCCCAAGGCATGTGCCGGGCTGGTCTGGGCTGGCTGGGCATTCCTGGCTGGATGCATGCTCTCCCTCTGTCCTACACACAGCTGGAGGAACTGGCCTGTTTTGACTTTGGTGTCTGGCGCAAGCGGTACCTGCAGTGGATCAGCCACAGGAAGTTCCGGGTCCTGGACGTCTTTCGCAGTATTGACAGAGACCAAGACGGGCGCGTCACCCAGCAGGAGTTCGTTGGGCGTGTCCTCGCCTCCAGTGAGTGCTGGTCCTGGGGACACGGGGATAGGCAAAGCAGGGCCAGGTTTCCTGCCAAGCCCCTCTCAAGGGCTGCCCCCCCACCTGTGGCCCCTGTGGTGTGTTTGCTTCCCCTCGTGGCTCTTGGGACGTGGCAGGGTCTCAGGGGGCCCCGGGACTGACCTCCTCAACCCCTTCCTTTCCTGTCCCAGAATTCCCCACCAGCCTGCCAGAGATGAAGGCGGTGGCCAAAATCTTTGACACGAACAGAGACGGTTTCATTGATTATTATGAATTTATCAGTGCTCTGCACCCTACCCGGGACATCCTGCGCCAGGCTGCCAACGTGGACCAGATCCAGGAGGAGGTACGGCAGACAGAGCGGCCTCCTCACTCGTGCAGTTCTGGCATCAGTGTTGCAGCTTCATAGTCTCCCCGGTTCTGTTGCCACAAAGCACTGAAGTGCCTCTGTTAGAAGTGGAGCGCTAGCGAAAAGGAAACCTGGCAGGTGCTGCAGTAGTGAGATTTCCCCAGGGGAAATGGAGCCCTTCAGCCAAACTGGCGAGGGTGAGGCTCTGCCCCCAGGCACCTCAGCAGATGCTTATCCCTGCAGAGGGAATCTCCACCAATTCCCTTCAGAACATGCTTGGCTTTGGAGAGGCTTTCCCGGGCTTAGTTGAGCACGAGGGAGCAGAGCTGGGGAGGGGAGAGGAAGAAAGGGCAATGCCCGGAATGTGAACCAGTGTGGGGGGGTACAGGTAGTCCTCAGTTATCAATGGCAATTGGGACTAGAATTTCCATCACCAAGCGACGTGGTCGTAAAGCACAACGTCATGTGACCGTACTGCTTAGTGAAGTTCTGGCACTTCTGGTTCCCGTCATTCAGCAAATCCCACCACGTTTTCAAGTGCGATGTCATGTGGCCACCATTTGCAACTTCCTGCCGGCTTTCCCAATGACTTTGTCAGAAGCTGGCAGCAAAGGTCGCAAATGGCGATCAAGTGACCGCTGCAATGGCCAGAACTTTGAGGACCAGTTGTAAGTACCACTTGTTCAGCACTTTCACAGTTTTGAATGGTTGCTGAATGAGTGCTTGTTAAACAAGGACCACTGGATTTGTGGAAATTGAGTTTCCTCTGGGTGGGAAGAGATGCTTGCAAGTTGGGGTTAGGCCTAGGTCCATACAAATGCATGCGTGTGTGGGAGAGGTTGGGGGGGTCTCTCTTCCCTCCCCCCTCCCCACCTCTCTCTTGTGATCCAGGTGAATCGGCAGGTGGCCCAGTGCAACTGTGCGAAGCGTTTCCAGGTGGAACAAATCAGCGCCACCCGTTTCAGAGTAAGCCCGTACCTGTCAGCTTCCTTAGCCTGGGTCCCCTCTGCCCTCCCCCTCCCCCCACATCTCTTGGCCCTTCCTGCTAAGCAAGGGTTAGGGTTAAGGTTGGCTTCCAGAGTCAGCGTGGTCTAAGTCAGCAGGAGAACCCAGGTGGCCGCAGCACAGAAGAGGCCCTGGCCTACTGAAGCGCCGCCTGGGCCTTTCCTGGTGCCCTTTCTCACGCCAGCTCTGCCCTTGGGGTCCGCCACTGGGCAGCTGTGCGTCAGGGCTGTGCCTCCACCCTGAGAATGGTGGGACTGAGAGAGAGGCTTCTCCCTGCACGGGGACCCCGGAACGGCCTCCAGCAAACACCCCTTCCTTTGCTGCTGCCTTTCCAGTTCGGGGAGTCCGAGCAGCTGCGCATGGTCAGAATCCTGCGAAGCACCCTGATGGTGCGGGTTGGGGGAGGCTGGACTGCTCTGGATGAGTTCCTGGTGAAGAACGACCCCTGCAGAGGTGAGGGGCGGGGCGAGCGCCTGCAAGGCCGGGTCCCAGCCTGCATCCCCCCACGCCCCAGCCTCTGCGTCTGGCTGGGACCCGTTTCGCCGCATCTCTGTCTCCAGTGACTTTCTCTCCTGCAGTCAAGGGAAGGACCAACACGAAGATCAATGAAAAATACCTCTCCCCAGGCCTCCTGGGGCGAAAGGGGGCAGACAGCCAGTCTGCCCCCACCTCCAAGGGGCTGTCCCCCAGCTGCTCCACCTCCAGCCTCAGCCTGTACAGCAGTGCCTCTGTGCCCAGCAGCCCTGTTCCCAGGAAGGTGAGTCCCTTGGGGGAAGGGGCAGGTGGGCAGAGTCCCGGCTGGGGGGACCTTCCAGCACGCCCCAAAAGAGGCTCTGGGAACCCTGCAGCCTGACCTCTCCTCCCTCTCCTTCCAGGCTGCCTTGCGCCGGACACGCTCAGGGGATCGGTGCCTCCACTCCCGCAGTGCTGGGGTGACTGAGGGGGCCGGCCTGGCCTTTGCCGCTGGAGCAGTCAGCCCTGATGCTGAGCCCCGAGGTGAGGGGGTGGGACTGGGCGCTGCTTCCGGAGCCCTCCGGTCAGAGGAGCTGCGGGCGTCCCGGCCTAGAGGGCGGATCTGGGCTGCAGGCCCCTGGGCATGAGCGTGGCCCGGGGATCGCGGCTGCCACTGAGGGCATCCAGATTTGGCAGCCTGGCTTGGGTGGCCCTACTCAGCCATGGTTGCTCCTGCGAAGGGCTGGGGCCAGTTCTGTGGGATTTCCTCTCTGCTTCTGCTTAGATCGCCCCAGCAGCAGTCGGGCCGCATCCTGAAAGCTGCAGCATCTTGAACAGCGACTCCTTCCTGGGGGCCTGGAGCAGGCAGCTGAGAGATCTGGACACCTCCCCACTGGCACCCCAGTCCCTGGGAGGCTAAACAGGCTGCCCCCCTTTCCCCCACAAGCCTCCCTCTCCCGTGCCCCTGCTCCCCACAGCTGTCCTCCGCAGCCCCCTCTGGCAGCACAGCCGACGTTTCCGCTGGAGCAAGACCACCCTTTGGAGGGGGGCCTCTTGGGTGCTCCCACTGGCCAGCTGCCCAGCTAGCCAAGGCCTCAGGGTAGCCCCAGTGTGCCCAGGACACCTTTTGGAACCAGTAGCCTCTTGCCTGGAGCATCGTTTCGTTGCAGGCAGCAGCAAGGTTGAATCCTGGTGCCAGCATACAGCGCAGCACAAGGAGCAATAAAAACAAGGGTTTCTACCAGTACCCACTGCCTCTGGGCGCCTTGATGGGAGGGGTACCCGGAGCACACCGATTGGCTTGATAAAGGCAGCTTGGCATCCAGTGGGCAACGCTCCCAGCTCCCCTCCTGGAAAGAGTGCTGTTCAGGTTGGGCTGATGCGGGCCTTGGGGAAGGCCAGGGGGTCAGGACTGTGTGTGGGGGGGAAATAGCTGTCTTTTTGCTCCAGCCTGATGAAGCCACCCAGGAAATGACACACTAGGAGCCGAGGCTGGCTGGGTAGTCAGGCACGGTGGCTGCTGTGGGGCTTCTGTGCAGCCTGGCGCCCTGCTGCTGCTTGAGGCTCCCCCAAGGGCTGCAGGATTTCCTTGTGCTGCCATGGGCTGGCAGGACAAGGGGCTGCAATGGCCGGGCCAGCCCTGACCTGTTCTGCTGTGGCGGGTGTCCAGTGTTCCAAGCATGGCTGGCACCTCCACATCTCCCCCCCCCACTAAGACGGATTCCTTCAGGCTATGGAAAGCAGCGTAAGGTGATGGGGTGTGCAAAAGTAAAAGAAAGGGACCAGCAAGAGAGTGCTTTAACCCATCTGAAGCAGAAATTCTGCCAGGGAAATGGGTGGGCAGTGGAGAGAAGCGAAGGAGATCCTCAAGGAGGATCTGGAACTCGCGGAGAAACAGCTTTGCTTCTGGCCTTAGCTGAGAAGATGGAGACAGGACCCTCCACCCTGCCTTTCTCAGGAAGCCCAACCAGTGAGGGAAGGAAGAGGGAGACTGCATGAGAGGCTGTCCCTTGATGAGCCCAAAGGGAAATGGCTGGGCTTCTGGCAAGGTGGAAGAGACGTCCCTCAAAGCGGGCCAAGTGCCAGAAGACTAGAGGGTGGCCAGGGTGTCCCCGCCCCCCATTCTAAAGGGGAAGTCAGACCTGAGAAACTAGAGGCCGGCCAGCTCTGGGCAAAGGAGTGGGAAGGGGAAAGCATTGCTGGGCATTGGGGCCCTGGAGGAACAAGCCCTGCTTTTCACCCGTTCATAAACAGTCTGGACTTGTCGGGGAGCAGAGAGCTGGCTAAGCCTGTAGATGACCCTCGACTGTTGAGGGGTGAGTCTTTAGGGCCAAGAGGTGGTCAGGCCTGCAGGGGAAAATCAAAGTGCTCGTGAGCAGCTCCAGGAGGATCTCTTCCAAGAGAGTGAAGGCTCTGCCAGGCAGCAAACACAGGTCACTCAAAGTTAGCGTGAAGCAAAGAAAAAACCCGGCTTTGTCTGTGCAGCAATGGGGAAAAGAACTAGGGGCTCAACAAACAAGGTCCACACAGGGACCACAAGGGCAGTCAGGGGCCGCATTGGGCTGTCCTCCCTCGGGAGAGACCCCTGCGCTGGCTGGTGCCGTGTCCATTCCTGGTTGCCACCCTTGGGGATGATGGGCAGAGCTGGGAAAAGCACAGCGGGGGCAACTCTTCACCGAAGAAAAAGGCAACTGGGGGAAATGGTTGGTTGGTCGGTCAAGGGGGGTCAGTTCGCGCTTGGCCTGGAGAGAGCGGACACCGCCAGGACCATGGAGATGGGGAGCAGATTCGGAACAGACAAAGGAAAGCGCTTCTTCCCACCACACGTAATTAACCCTGGGATTCACTGCCACAGGGTGTGACAGCCACTGCCTTGGTACCTAGGAAAGTAATTGCCATCTCTCACGAGATCCTAGTACAGAAACCTTGGTTTCCAGATCCTTCGGTCTCTTGACGGTGCTCCTCGGAATCTGCTCCAATTTGTCACTGTCCTTTTTGAACTGTGGTGCCCAGAACTTGACAAAGCGCTGCAAGAGGGGTCTGACCAGGGCAGGCTAAAGGGGAGCAATTACGCCCTGCGGTCAGGACTCTACGCTCCTATTAATGGAGCCCAGGATTGCATTTGCCTGTTTAGCAGCTGCATTACACCGCTGGCTCGCGTTTAGCTTGTAATCAAGAATGCTGAGATTCCTTTCACGTATTTGCCAACGGCAAGTTGGAAGGGTTGAAAGGTGTATTCCCATTAGGCATTAGAAATGGAAGCATTTGCAAGCACAGCATTTGATATTGTTGCCAGGGTGAAGGTGATGTCAAAGTCAAGTAGCGTGGAGTCCTTGGGGTTCTCTGAGCTTGGCTGTTTCTTGCAAATGTTTCATTGCCTGGCTAGATAACATCTTCAGTGCAGTCACGTATGTATGTTAAGCTTGATGGAAGCTTTAATCCAGATTCACACCCCCCCCTTTTAAAAATGAGTTGCACCACTCAAAAGCAGAAATTGGAATGGATTTCAGCCTGCGGATCTTGAGGGGCTCTGGGGCAGCAGAAATGAGTCTTGCTTGAAAAGGATCTTATGAGTTGCAGGTTCCCCATCCTTGTTCTGCTCGCTAAGGGAAGGTCAGGGGAGCGCAGGAAAGACGTCCAATGTATTTTAAACATGGGCCTTTGATAGCAGAACCTCTGCCTAAAACTTTCTCCTAAGTTGCTCAGTTTCTGCACCGCCTCACAGAATATAGCTTTGGCTAATCACAAAAAGCTAAGCAAGTGGTTACGACTTGGATGGGAAGCCACCAGGAAATCTTGGAGCTGAGGCTAGACATGGACACAGCCTGGAAAAGAGATCCCTGACGGGCAGTGGAAGGCCAATTCATAAAAAAAGCTTCCAATGCCCCCCCCCCCCAAGTGCTCCAATATTTCTTTGAATCTGTGATCCCAGACTGTCCTTGGGAAGAGAAGACCAATGTTTGCAGTTAAACCACAGCTTCTCGTGTTGGCTTACATGCATTACATCACCTATCCCGTATACCTTATTAGGAACAAACGGGCTGATTTAGGGAAAGAACAGCCTTGCTGTTGCCAGGACATTGTTATTTATAACTTGCTTCTTTCTCTGGGAATTGCACGGGGTAGCAGTTTGAACAGAGAGAGCTCGTTCCCCACTCTGGCACAGCCCGCATGTCTCATCGCCTTTCTCTTCCCTGCCAGCACTTTCTCTTGAACAACTTATCTGCCGTTACCAAGGCCTCTAGATTATTCTCCTGGGCGCCCTGAAGAGGGCTTTGCTAACAATTGCTGATTTGGGAGTCCATTTTATTGGCCCAAAACACCCTGGACAGTCCTTGCAGCCAGCAGGAGTCAAGGGAGTTTTTGTATTTTTAACCCCAATAACCATTTGGGTTCCCCTCATACACAAATAGCAAAACGTGGCTTCAGCCCTCGATTACCTGCCCGGGCCTCTCTTCTCCCGTGCTGCTGCTGGGGGGTCGGTGCTCACCTTCTCCTGCCACAGAGCTTCGGCCTTTCCTTCAGCCTCAGAGCCTTCCGGCCCACTTCTCCCTCCATCCCTGTTTGCTGCCCCTTCCTTCCACGTCCCTCACATGGGGTGCGCTTTGTGGAAGCTTCTCCCACATGCTCAGTGAACACAAGTGCTCCAGCCCATGGCAGCCTCGCTGCCCACCCTGGCAGGTGCCACACCAAGGCTGTGGATGAGGGAGCTGATGGCTGCCCAAAAGATGGGGGGAGGGGTTGTGCTTCTGGCTGACTGCTCTGCCACTGACAACAGCCCTGGACAAGGTTACTGGCCCTCCTCCAGAGGCTTGCTGGCAGCTGAAGCATGAGCCCGTCTCTGTTTGCCCGGAGAACATTTGCATTTGCTCCTGCAGATCAGCACAAAGGTGCCCCACTCCAAAGGAGCGTTTGCAGCTCTCTTTGGATGGGGGTGGAGGGGGAGATGGCTGCTTCTGGGGTTTTATGCCCAGCTGCAGAAGAGAGGCTTCCAGCTCTTGTAACACCCCTATCGCTTAGGGACCCCATGTATCTCCCCCCTGCTATTTTCCCATTCTTCCAGAGGCAGAGGACGCGCAGAAACACATGCGGGTTTCCAGCTTTTGCTAATCACCCTCTGGGCGAAAAGCTGTACTCCCTCCCCCCAACTCAAAGTCCGGCCAGGGGGCTTCAGTTCCGGAAAAATTATGTGTGGCAGCCCCCACAGGTTATAGTCCCCGCCACCTCCCCCAAGACTCGGCCAGCCCATCAAAGCTGAGCTGGCCCAACCCCAGCCCTTTTCTCCCGCCTCCGGTACAGTGGTACCTTGGGATACAAACTTAATCCGTTCCATGACTCTGGGCGTATCCCGAGTGAGTTGGTCGTAACCTGAAGGAAATTTCCCCATAGGGTTCAATGTAAATCCGGTTAATCCGTTCCGCCCTCTGAATTTGGTT